TAAATATTTCAAACTCTCTTTGTCTACTTTTGAAAGTATGCAACCATATATCCCTTCGATGAGCAACGAAATATCTTGACTTTTGAATATTATTTTCCGTCAGATCATTTAACCTGTTGTATGAACATTTCTTCTTCATGACAATTTATTAAAAATACGGACTTTCTGATTTATTTTCCTGAAACGAGCTATTGACACAATTTCAAGCATGTAAATTTGTAAATAAATTCTTTATCTTGTTTTATTAAAATTATCCATGTTTTCCTTGTCATTATTACCTTTCATTAATCTTCTTTGCATGAGTAAATTAACTGTTCATTTTAATCCCAAAGTCCCACGCCATATTGAAATTTGACGTCTGAATATAAGCTGATTCTTTAGCCAACTAATCTACAGATTTTAACTGGATTTTGTAAACGTAATGCTTACTTTTTGCTTAAAAAATGAAATTAATATTTATTTATTTATGGATGGTAGCCCGTGATTTCATAGGTCGACATTTATAAATATCGACAGGAAATACTCTTAAAAAGCGCGGGAAAAAATAAAAACGAAATAAGGAACACCAAAAGCGCAGTAATCAAGAAATTAATTATTATATTCAAAAATAATTTATCGTAAACCTTATATAACCAATAATTTAAGAATATAAACTTTTATTGTATACAATTTTCTAATTTCTAGAATGAATAATTTTATTTTTTATATTACATAAGAAGTAGTTTTTTTTTTTAGTTAAATGATTCATTTGTGTTTAATAAACTGCTTTTATTTTTGTTTTTTATTACTTTTTACCTGCTTGATGTACCAAGTTACCGCCTCCTAATTTTCAAAACCGTTACTAGGGGGCGTTCTCCGGCGCTATAAATACTCTGCAATAATTTTTTTATCCCTCTCTTCTGATCTTCTTATCGGTCAATATGTAAGTCTGTCAAGGAAAAAAAACCCAAAAACGCGTTCCTTTTTGGGAAACGCATGAAAAATACATACACATACACACGTACGTACGCACATTCACTCACTTCACATACTTTGGACCCAAAAGGTTTTCGCATTCATTTCTTACACACATCATTGTCTTTGTCACTTGTAACCGTTTTTTGTTGTTAATATATTATCATTTGTTTTTACGTATATATCGGTTCTTGTTGTTTCTTTATATTTATTTACGTGGACTCACATCCAGAGTCCGTCATGTTTGTTGTGGGCATTTCAGCAATGCATACACCGGCCCACAACAGATGTCAGAAAATATTTAATTGCATCCATTGTGGTCTTTTAAAAATTATTCTGAAGAGTTATTTAATTATACCATTCCGATAGGCTGTCCTGGGTATGACGATAAACTACATCCGCGTCCAGGATAAAACGATAAACTTTCCAACAGCAAGGCCTCTGATCAGGAGGCTTTGAGGAGCGTGGAACCACCTCTTAATTGCTGGTGTTCCCAGGTCCACCCTGACCCGGGGGTGGGAGGATTATTCAATTAAATAAGGTAATTAAAAATTATTTCCTTTTCAAACATCCATGCAAAAAATAAAATAAAAATAATAATAATGTAACAGTTGCTAAAATGAAAATAATTAAAATTCTTTTTTAAAAAAGGTTCACGCTTGAAAATATCATTATACTTTACACTTTCCAATTCTTCAAACCTCTCCTTATTTAATAATAATAATAAAAAAGCAACTTTTAAAAACGCACTGAAAAATTATAAAAAGATAAATATTAAGAGTAGTTGTTTTTTTCTGTCCAACCCGAAGGAAAATTCATTTACACACAAATATTCATAGGAATAGCAGCCCAAGAGATTATAATAGCACAATTTCTGTTTTTACTTTTGAAATTGCTGGATGTAACTTTAAGTTCTACACTCCGTGCCAAATTATTATCAAGATAACATTTTTTTTATATTTCAAAAAACCGTCCAATCAATTCACACATAATTTTCACACAATTTTGGCAACACTGACCTGCGCAATCACTGAAATTTTCGACCTGATGTGCGCAATGTGAACAAGATGGCGCCATATTTGTTATCAGCACGTGAATTGAGTGGACGGTTTTTGAAATATTATAAAAAAATCTCGATAATAATTTGGCACGCAGTGTATACTAAAAGTGTCTTCTTTTGCACTTTTTGTTTGTGGAACTTTCTTCTGGATTCTTGGTTTCCTGTCAAGTACGCCAAAAATTTAAATGCAATGTCAATTGTCATCTCCTTGAATCTTGTTACCTTGTCTTCTATCCTCAAAGTTTTCCTCAGTTTTTTTTTACTCTCTGTTGTGTCTTCTTAGTGGCTTCAGTGGATTGTATGATTATATATATATATATATATATATATATATATATATATATATATATATATATATATATATATTAGGCATAGTGGATTAGTGGATAGCAGCTCAGGTTGAGGAATCAGAGAGCCAAGTTTGAATTCCAGTTGAATCAATTACATTCACTTACATGCTAATACTCTTGGCAAAGATATTAATCCTCTTATTCTCCCTCCAGCTATGGGTATAATATCAGGACAGACTGGGTTCTATAGTCTTGGATGGCAACTGGTTTAGGAGAGGGACAACCCTGAATTCAAAATCTACGAAGGATTATTTGGGGACCCTGTGGCATGTAGTGCACCAGGTTTCTGTATTCGACCCTTCAAAAAGTGTGGTTGGTTTTACACAAAGACTTCACAAGTACTACAAGTTGTTAGATTGGTGAAAATAAGATCCCACAATATGAGATACAAATTAAAAACTTGCTAGAAACTTCTTTCTCATTCCGACTTTATCATTTGATGGGAAAAGCATTTATAAAAAGCAACTAAGATGAAGGAAGGAGTTCAGGATATTAGGGATATAAGTGTATAATTAATCAACAGTAAAAATAAACTATGATATGAAGATATGACAATATAATTGTAGATTTCAACTGTCTAGCTTTAGGTCTTGAATGGTTAAAGTATCATCCATGAAAGATGATCTTTTGAGATATGAACTGATTTCATGCCTCATTGAAAGCTGCTTCTTATTCTTACTTATATAGTAAGTATATATAAGAAGTCATATAGTGACTTAGAATTTGGGCTTTGTAGCCATATTTGCTCAGTTATCAGCTTTGGGCACCTTGAGGTGGTGTAATGATTAGCAAGCTTGTCTCGCTAGAACAGTTATGACTGAGTAGTGAGTTCAATCCTCACTGGGCGCCCCTTACTTTCGGCCTTGTGCCACATCTAAGCTACGCTTGGAAAATCACTATCAGCTTTGGTGGCCATATTGGTTAAGTTATCATCCATGGAAGATGATCTGTTGAAGAAAAAACTGTTATTTCATGCCTCATTGAAAGCTACTTCTTATTCATACTTCTTATATATACTTACTATATGACTTAGGGTCTGTAGCCATATTGGTTGAATTATCATGTTTGGTGGCCATATTGGTTAAGTTATCATCCATGGAAGATGATCAGTTGAGAGATGAACTGTGTGTTCTTCATGCTATTTTAAGTTTTGTTAAATAGACAGCTTAAAAAGTTCAGATCAAAAGCAACAATAGGATGAAGAAAAGATAAACCAAAATTAATCAAGTAAAACTTCTTTATTCCTATTTAATGCTACATACTTTAATCATTTGAAAGTATCAACCTAGAAAGACAAAATATGAAGTAATGATCACCCAAAAATTCAGAAAACATGTTTGAAGCCAAACTGAAGAACTCCGATAACAGATCCACAAAATAATGTTCTTTTTCTTTTAAGTGACATGTTCCTTCAGAATGTAAACAATTATGGTGATTTTCTAAGCGTAGATTTGATGTGGCACATGGCCGAAATTAAGGGGTACCCAGTGAGGATCAAACTCACTTTTCAGTTGTAATTGATTTAGCAAGACAAGCTTACTAAACATTACACCATGTTGAAGTGCCCAAATATAAGCAATTATGACATCCCACAGATTATTTTTATTTTGGGTGGAATTATTATGAATTTTTATGGGAAAGATAGTGGAGTAGTATTCTGCTGTCATCTACATATTTTGAAATTTAGAATTTTCCTTCTCTTCTTATAGTTGCCATCCACTGTTAGCCCACGTTATTTTGAATACATAGATGGTGGGAGAAGAGGTGTATTGATATCTTTCTCAATGGAATCACTGCAAACGTGAATGCTAACCTGGAAATTTGAACTCGTCTTACTAATTCTTCCTGCACAGATATCTGTTAGACAAGCTGCACATCACTTTAAAATACCCATCTGACTGACTCCGGCCTTTCTCAAGGCTATTTGTGCAAAAGTAAATGCAACAGAATTGCATGGAATTTGAACTCGTCTCAATAACTTCCACTTTCTTCACTGATATCTACTACTCTACATATACATCTATGGTAAATAAAATTCTGCAGACTTATACTCTGTGGTAATGGGGTGAGCAATAACCGTGCAGTACTAAATAAGTACTAAACAAGATAACCTTAGATATGGTCAGTGGAATGAGAACAATCTACCCCCATAGATTAAATAATGGATTTCAATTCAAAATTCAATGTAGGTTATCCTGATTGATAGATAAAGGCTGATCAATAGTCCACATATGAATAATGATAACTCCTCACCTGAGAAATTCAGGTGGAAAAAAAATTGAACCATAAATATTGTAGCCTCCATACTGTTTGTTTGCCAGTGAGCTATACCAAAAAGTGTTCATTTGTTATTTTAGGACTTCAGAACTAGTGGATTATCAAAGAAGGCAGATTATTTAAAATTGGTTACTTTTGTGTTGCATGTGTTGGGTAACTTGCAAATTCCAGCAGTTTTTTGAAGTGCATATCTTGTTGTATTTGAAAGACTGCAGATGTTGGCGCTTATGACAAGAAAGGAAAGAAAATGAAAAAACAAAAAAACAATTATGAATGTTTATGTTATTTCGTTTTTAAAGTAATCACAAAATTAACCCGGGTTAAGTATTTGTTTTTTATGTTTGACTTAGGTTGCCAGTTCAGTTGTGAAAAAAATAGATGAAGAAAAAGAGAAATAGCAAAAGAAATAAAAAAAAGGCAAGAATAAAACAAGAAAAGAAAAGAGAGAGTATGGAAAAAGGAATGGGCATAGGAAAAGATTTTAAAGAGGAAATTACACAGAAAAATCTAGAGTAGAAAGTGTGCATAAAAAAGAAAAAATAATTTGTACAAAATTAGTTTTTTTTAAAAAAAAAAGGAATCTGAACACCCAAGAGTGTATTGAAAAAAAATGGAGAAAAGAAAGGAAGAAAGGTGAAAGTAAGAAAGGAAGAAGAAAAATAAGAAAGAAAGAAGATAGTAGAAAAACTTAAAAGAAAAAATATTGGACTAAGATGATAAAAAGAAAAGGAATGAGAGAAACAAAAAGAAAGAAAAGTAAAGAAAAGAAACTAAAAGAAAAAGGAAGATTTAGAGCAATTAAGAATAAGGAGGAGAAAAGAATGAGGAGGAAAAAAGAATAAGGAGGAGAAAAGAATATGAAAAAGACAAGGAGGTGGCAAAGGATGGCAGAAGATGTTAAAGAGGAGGAAGAGGAAGAATAAAAACATGAGAGAGGAATGCAGAAGCAAAAGGACGAAGAATGATAAAGAAGAAAAGAAGAATAAGAACCTTAGAGGAATATAAAGAAGAGAAAAAGAAGAATGATAAAAAGTAGGTATAGGAAAAAAAATATTATAAAGAGGAGTTAAGAAAACATTGAAAAAGAGAAAGGGAAAAAAGAGAAGAGGAAAAAAGAGAAGGGGAAAAAAGAGAAAGGATAAAGAAATCAAAAAAGAAGAGGAAGAGAATCAAAATAACTAACCAGAAAAACCCCCCAAAAACCCCCAAAAAACAAAAAAACAAATGGCAACAAAAACTTGAGGAAAGTGAAGAACATAAAAAATTGACTCCCATCACATTAAATAACTTTCTCCTCAAGTGAACAGCTCCTGGAAGCTCTCAACAAATGCTTTAATTACAGCAACTGAAATTTAATTTATCTCCCCTTTTTTTTTTGCTCACTCTCTAAAAAAAAAAAAAAAAGACAGACAAAACCTTTGTTTAGCTACTAATTTTAAGTTAATCCTTTGATGGATAAAAAGCAAACAGAGTATGAAGATCATCTCAATTCTGTTTGTTCTACGTTTTTGTAGTCAATAAAGAAAATGTTTCCATTTGAATTTCTGGGATGAGGAGTTATCATTATTTATACACTTACTAATGTCCTCATCTTTGTTGTGTTTATCATAATGTTTTGGCAGTTGTGCCCTCCAGCCTTCATCAGGTGCTTATCCTTCCGATTACCTAAAGGGAATTTCAATCTGAACTTCTTATTTAATCTATGGGAGTAGATTGTTCTTGTCCTACTGCCTAGATATATCCCTAGACATGGACAGTGGAATGAGAACAATTTAACACTGTTGATTAAATAAAGTGTTCAGTTTAAAATTCCCTGTAGGTTACCTGGATTGACAAGCAGAAAATGAAAGAGTAATTTTTAAATGTTTTTATTTTTAATTCAGCATTTCCTATTATTATTATAGTAAAATTGTTCTAGATAATAAGTATTGCTTATCAGTAAGCTTTAATATGCTATTTACCAACCTCTCCACAAGGCAAGATTTGCCACAAGGCCAGTTTTTAACCTGAGGTTTTCTGAGCATGTAGGCTGAGGTAAAAATTGCCTGTAGACCCCATATACACAGGGTTGGGTTTGACCACCTCCCCAAACGAGACTCTGCCCTTTGACATAGTCTCGTCTGGGTTCCTCTCCACATGGAGGCAGAGAGTTTGACAAGAGAAGAAGCTTTAATATACTCAAGTATTTACTCAAGATCCCCACAGAGCAGGATGTGGCACAAGGCCTGTTTAAAGTGGGTTTTTCTGAGTCCGTAGACCCATGCAAAAATTCTACATAGACCCTGTAATAATGAGGTCAGGTTTGTCTACCTCTCCAAATGAGACTCTGCCTTTCCACATAACCTTGCCTGGATTCCTCTCCACCCAGAGACAGAGAGTTCGACAAGAGAGGAAGCTTTAATATACTATGCATATCAGCAGAATTCTCCTGAATATATGTGTTCAGGACAGATCTATTAATGGGGAAAATGGATACAATTATAACCATTTTTTTTAATTTTTTTAATTTTGTTTTCTTAAAAAGTGTAATCTAGGCTGGTTGCTATTAATTTCACTGTTTAAGAAAAAAACAAAACAAAAATAAATGTGTAAATAATGTAAACAAAGACTGTGTTCTTGTTGAATCGACTTGCACTGAATAGAAAGAAAACCTGGCAAAGGTTGAAAGGTCACCTAATGATATTTCCCAAGCTTCCTTAATCTGATACAAAGTAATGGCTACATGTCATGCAAAGGATATTGGAATCATTATAGTACAAGGGTTGGCTGAAATGTTCATAGGCTGACCAAGATATAAATGTAAGTAAAAATACCAATTGGTAGTTTAAAAGATATACAAGTATACCAGAATACAACAACAGGTTGATCAGCTATTGTATTCTGGAATGTTTGCATGATTTAAAAAAAAAATAATAGGGTATCCATTTTACTATGTAAATTCATTATAAAATGATCCCTCTATATAAGCCCAAAGAAATATGCTCATACATTATCATTTATTAAAATATAAAAATGCAAAATTTCTTTGAAATTCATAATCTAGAGTTCTTTTTTTTATATATTACTATTGATAAAGAATGTCTATTATACAATTATATGCAAAGCTGATATTTAGAGTGGTTTAGTATTAATTTTTGACAAATAATCTAATTTCAATTTCACCCAGATAATTGCTCTACAATTATTATAAATACTAATTGCAACTAATAGTACTTTTGTAAAGTATGTAGTAATGAAATTCAGGTTTGAATCTCACCATGGTTGACTTTTCAAAGAATCTTACTTATTATAAAAAAGGTTGTGTGTGTGTGTGTGTGTGTGTGTGTGTGTGTGTGTGTGTGTGTGTGAAAACGTTTATATGTTGGATCGAATTTCCTGCATTTTTTAGGAAAATTTCAACAAAACTTCACTGGACTACATAAAATTACCTTTGGTGGTTCTAACGGCGCCGAAAAAAAAAAACACAGTGTTTTTTAAGAAAATCAATTTGAAAAACACGATTAAGACACACGTTGAGAATGGAAGGGGACAACTCACCCACGAACATGTAAACAAAAGAGCATAGCATGATGAAAAGACGCCGAATGACGAAAACAAAATTTTATCGTCTAATGTTCATATTATTATTAAAGAGGAAAGATCAAAGTATTTTGGGGTATTTTTTACATTTTTAATCGTTCCTTACGTCTGAAATTTTCGTTAAAATATTGTTTTTTTTTGGTAAAAAAAGGACAGATAATCATTTTCAATCATTTTTTCGATTTGATAAAAAAGATTAAAATCTTACTTTGATATTCTTTTAAAATCAATTATCATTTTTTCAAAACTGATTTTATAAACACATAAATACTGTTTACATAATTCTTCTGCGCCGAAAAATGTAATTTGAATAAAACAAAAGCAGGTCTAATCTGATTGGTCCAAATTATACAATTTTCAAATTCTTTCTACGGATAGAAACAATGAACAATCTCGTTACTTTTAAGGAAAACAGGACATTTTTTGAAATTTTACGTTTGATGTTGAAAATATAAAGAAAATTTAACTAATGTTAAAATATTTTTTTAAAATTCAATTTAAACATTTTTTTTAAAATTCTTTTAAAATTAAATTTTGAAATAATGAAAAAATGTCAAATAATTAATATAAAAATATTAAAATTCAATTTTCATTGAAAAATTTTACCCTTTTCAGTTGAAATTGAAAAAATATTGTCCATATTCAAAATAAAGGGCTTAAAAAACAAATTAAAACAAATAAAAGCATTTGAAACTAAATAATATATTTGTTTTATTGAGTAGACAATGACAATGTTACAATTCACAGGCTGATTTTATTTTTTAAAAGGTAAAAACGTTGAAATAATTGTATTAAAAATTCAAAAAAATTTTTTGGCTTCCAAAAAAAAAAAACAAAAAAAAAAAAAACATTTGATTTGCATTCTTCAAAGGCAAAAAAAAAAAAAAAAAAATACATGATTTTGTGCTTTTAACTATTGTAATCACTAAAACCGATGGTCTCGAATTTCTAGAGTTTTTCATAAAATTAGTTATGGGTGTGTTAATAAATATAAAAAAAATATTTCTGCCATGACTTTAAAAAAAAAAAACATATTTATAATAATTTCGATCATCTGTGAATAGTTTCTGAAAGTTTCATTAACATCTGACAATTATTTTTATTTTTGCAAGATTTTCCAAATTAATGTGTGTAAATACAAAAAACGCTAAAAAATTATCTATGTTATTTACTACCCCTTGTTGCGACAAAGAGAAACAAGGTTTTTTAAATCAAAATTTAGAATATTCTAAAAAGATGGAAAAATTTTTAAAATAATTAAAAAAAAATTTAGTCTATCCTCTTCATAAAAACATAAGCATTTTGACGATAAAATTTTGTTTTCATAAACTTTAGCGTCTTTTTCATCAGACTATGCTCTATGTTTTAGTGATTCCGTGGAGTGACTTAGGTTAAAAAACCCAGGTTGTTTGTGTGTGTGTGTGTGTGTGTGTGTGTGTTCCTTTATATATGGGATCGGATTTCTTACATTTTTCAGCCGATAAAACAAACATCCACTTTTTTTTTCGGCAGGTAGTATTTCTTATTGTCTTGCACACTTTTTTCTTTATTTACATTCAGAATGCTTTAAAAATTCCATTTACAAGACAATTGTTTATAATAAAATTCTATTCACCAATCGATAGACTCATAACGATTGTAAACAATGTTTTTGTTTGAGTATGGGTTTGACCAATTCGTAAAAAAAAAAAAAAAAAAAAAAAAAAACTAATTAAGACATGCGTGTCCGTCAACCTTAAACAATAATCTTTGTCAATTTTATTTTTCAGTCTTTATGATAGTCGATACTTGATCTATCTCTTACTGTTACATCCCCGGGCAACGCCGGTCTCTACTGCTAGTTCTTGATAAATACAAGCTTAGGGAGATAATCCTAGCTTGTAGTACCATTGGGAAATGTCCAAAAACCATGACCTAAGCTTGTGAATGAAATGGACTAGATGAGACTGTTCAGAAGTCATCAATAGTTATGCTAGCACAAAGTTACATGTCATCGTGATCGAGAGTTTGATTGTTCTGGTCTTGTTCAACTATTGATCACATCTAATAGTGCCCTCTTTCCCAGAATCTGTAACAGAAGACTCCTCAGCACAATCACAGTATAAAACTACAGGTTGGCTCTGTAGGCATTGAAGAATCAAATGTGCCCGAGCAGGTGTCTGCAACAGGGATTAACTGGCCACACAAATGAGCATCCAGTCTTTAGAAGTGTATGTAAACAATGAAGAAGATAGCATACCAGGAATTAAAAATAAATTAAAAAATATTTAAAAAATATATGAAGTATGGTGAAGTTTGAATTACTGTTGTAGTTTAGCTTTTGTAGCCTAATTGGTTGAGTAGATTCTATAAATGTCCTCATTTCTGAAGATGCAGGATGCAAATTCAAGTCTCCCCAGGGGTTGATTCTTTATTTCCAATTCATAGTAATTATAGGGTGGCAATCTAGGAGTTACAATAAAAATTAATTGAAATTATGATTAACTGTATTCTTCTTCTATGTGTTGTATCTCTTCAGGACAGTAGCTCTCCACAACTTCCTGTCCTTTTTAGTTATTAGTAGGGTTTGTTTGTTTTTTGCTATCCCCTCCAATCTCTGTTCTACCAACACACAAGTAAGTTAGGTTATTCACTACATTCCACTGTCCTTTTAACCTTCAATATGTCCTGTGAGTGTCAAATTTTTTAAGCCTGCT